ATAACTTAAGAATTTTTCTTAAGATTTTTTTTCCTATATAATAAGTTTATCTTCTTTTTTGGCCCGGGTGGAGCCTAGTGGTAGAGCGTTCGCTTCGTGATCGGGAGGCCCGGGTTCGTTCCGTTGGCGGCGCTGCGTCATACCTAAGACGTAAACAAAGGTAGTGACTGTTCCTTCGCCAAGCGCTCGGCATTAGAAGTGAGAGTCACGGGTCTTTCGGATATGACCTTAAAAACGTAGGTCCCGTGTCACGGTAGGCGCTGGCACGATAAAGAACCCTCACTGCTCAATGGCCCCGAGTGCCGAGTATAGGTCTAAATTTGAAGCCCTTCACCGGCATATGGTGAAGTCTCCATATGAGTGAAAAATTCTCAAGAGGGACGTTAAACAATATACAATCAATCAATCAATCAATCTTCTATTTTGGTCTCTATAAGGTCTACACCTTGGGCTCACAAATTGTAAGAATATTAAGTTTGAATCTTTACTACCTGAGGATGTTTCCGTAATAATATGAGTAATTGTGCCTTTGCTCTTCTTGTTAAGATTTTTATAGATCTTTATTTCTTCAGAGGACCATAAAATGTAAATTGTTTACAGACGAACAGACAGCTAGGGGCAGACCGAGAGCTAGACAGAGGACCGACACCTACTATCATATAAGCTGTTCTGGTCTTCGCCCAGTTGGGCTAAAAATGAAAATTTAACACAATCAATGGGTATTGATTGGTTTGTGCTAACCATTGTATGCATAAACATGTAGCAATGATATTCATGAATTAGCAATGTGTCGTATGCACCTTTGATGCCTAAATATAAAATCCGAGTATTTTAAATACATATACACTATCATTCTGTTTATCACTAAAGAATTGACGTGTCTTAATCTTTTCAAAATCTTATATTTAGTACAGGTAGAATACATGTACTAAATTTAAATGTCAAAAAAGGTCTATCTAAAATATTACCTTTTGCAAATAAGAACCCAGTGTCCTTCAATGCACTAAGTAAGTTGCTGACTTCACATAACCACGACTCTTGGAATTTTCCAGCCATTCCAAAATCCCATTTCTTATTTTCATTTCTACATCAGATCCAGAATCTTTAACATTCAGTTTTTCCAGTAACTTAGCATAATTGCCATTGCGATTTGGGTCTGACTGGGCATTTTTTATTATTTCCAACATGTACATTTCTGGAAGCAAAAGAAATATTTACAACGTTAAGTGAATCCCTCTTGTACACTGTTGTTTAGAAAACAAGATAAAAGAAATTCTTGACAATGCAAATCATGAATACAGGGTTCGACACTAACGGTGGACCGGTGGCCCGAGTCCACCAAAAAATTGGAAGGTCCACCAAACGTTCTGGGCTAGGTGGACCGTCGGTCTACTTAAAATTTGAACACCATATTCAAAAAACAGTGAAAATTTCAGAGTTTTTTTCCCTTTAAATCGAAATCTGTAACTCAAAATTATTAATTCCTCCATATCTGTATTTTACAAGAAATAAATATACATGTAAATAATGTTTCAGGTAATCAGGGTGACCTAGCAACTCGATATATTTTACATGTAAAATTGATAACTCCAGTATTAACAACAGAACATTCAACACGGACCTTGAACATTTGAATAAGAAGCATGAAAAATCCGTGCCAAATTAGCCAATCTCTCCTCTGTTTACGTAATGCACAGAAAGGTGTGAAAATTACACTGGGTAACAGGAAATCGCTTCACGCCTGAACGCACACTGTTGGAGATAATTAGAATTGATTGACAACTGCATTTAAGCATTGTTTTTTTTTATGATTTATTATCTGCAATTTCATTTTTTTCTTGATATACATTATATCACTACTTATTTGAATAAACAATAAATTTAGAAAATAATTAATACACATACATGTACCTATGTCAGTTTTGCATCGTAGTAAAAAATATCTAGCCATAGATACATGAAAAATTGAATTGTTTAATCTGTGAACAAATTAATTAATAATTGGAATTTTAAATTTAAGCTACCTTTGGAAGCGAAATAAATGTAGGTTTTCACCATTGTAACTTAATGATAATTATTAAAATATTTTTTGGTTTGTAGATTAATACATTTTTTTAAGTTTTACAATATTTCTGAAAAAAGTCTGACTAGTCCCTGATTGATTTTTTTTTGGTCTACTTGTTGTATGATGCTTTATTAGTCTGACTGGAATCGTTATATATATTTAGTTAGTTTTAATTAATGCCTTGTGTAATGATTCATTAGTTCAAACATTTTTAAAGGTCCACCTGATATTGAGAAGGTCCACCAATAATTTTTGACAAGTGGACCTGTGGTCCACCAAGGTAAAAAAGTTAGTGTCTCGAAACCCTGAATTATATCATACAAGTAACTGAATGAAAAAATATCAGACTTCAGAAGCATTGCTTCTTTCAAGTTTAGACCAACTAGAACTGTCCAAACGGGACAAAATACCCCCCGCTGGGTTTTTCAGAAGTAAGTTTTATCCATAATAAAGATATGTATCAAAAACAAATTATGAAATTTTTATTCCAGTGACCTTGAACTTCCCCAAATAACCTTGGGTCAAGGTCATGAAACACCCTTGGGTCATGGGCAATCTTTGTGTGAAAATAGAACCTACCAAGTTTATGCATAAGAAATATATGGACTGAACACGAATTATGAAATTTTTCTACCAGTGACCTTGAACTTCCCCAAATGACCTTGGGTCAAGGTCATGACACACCCTTGGGTCATGGGCAATCTTTGTGTGAAATGAGAACCTACCAAGTTTATCCATAAGAAAGATATGGACCGGACACAAATTATGAAATTTTTCTACCAGTGACCTTGAACTTCCCAAAATGACCTTGGGTCAAGGTCATGACACACCCTTGGGTCATGGGCAATCTTTGTGTGAAATGAGAACCTACCAAGTTTATCCATAAGAAAGATATGGACCGGACAGGGAATATAAAAAATTTTCTTCCAGTGACCTTGAACTTTCCCAAATGACCTTGGGTCAAGGTCATGACACATCCTTGGGTCATGGGCAATCTTTGTGTGAAATGAAAACCTACCAAGTTTATCTATAAAAAATATGTATCAAACATGATTTATGAAAATTTTCTTCCAGTGACCTTGAACTTTCCCAAATGACCTTGGTTCAAGGTCATGACACACCCTTGGGTTATGGGCAATCTTTGTGTGAAATGAGAACTTACCAAGTTTATCCATTAGAAAAATATGGACCGGACACGAATTATGAAATTTTTCTTCCAATGACCTTGAACTTCCCCAAATGACCTTGGGTCAAGGTCATGACACACCCTTGGGTCAGATCTTGTGTGAAATGAGAACCTACCAAGTTTATCCATAAGAAAGATATGGACCGGACACGAATTATGAAATTTTTCTTCCAGTGACCTTGAACTTCCCCGAATGACCTTGGGTTAAGGTCATGACACACCCTTAGGTCATGAGCAATCTTAGTGTGGAGTAGTAGATTCTAATGTCCCTCTGTAAGAAAGATATGGACCGGACAAGAATGCACAGACAGACGGACAGACAGACAGACGGACGGACAGACAGACGGACAAGGTGATTCCTATATACCCCCCAAACTTCGTTTGCGGGGGGTATAAAAATTGGACCCATTACATATGTACCAAGGTAAAAAGTGACCAATATTTCAATTTTCACCATGTGTATCATTTTCTGACCATTTTTCTCAACCTTACATCAGCCCCGTGGGGATCCGGGTTAGAATAGGTCCCCAGTACCCCCTTGCTTGTCGTAAAAGGCGACTAAAAGGGGCGGTCCTTCGGATGAGACCGTAAAAACCGAGGCCCCGTGTCACAGCAGGTGTGGCACGATAAAGATCCCTCCCTGCTCAAAGGCCGTAAGCGCCGAGCATAGGCCTAAATTTGCAGCCCTTCACCGGCAATGGTGACGTCTCCAAATCAGTGAAATATTCTGGAGAGGGACGTTAAACAGAATTCAATCAATCAACCTTACATGCCTTAAGGAATGTGCATTTTTATAGGCAACTTTACAAGTTTATTGTGATTTTAAGAATATGATATCTTTTTATAAAAGGAAAAAATGAGTCCATAAAACATATGGATATAACGAACAGTATTCGTTATCCAAAAGTCCATAAAACAATAAAAACAGGAGCAGAGCAAACATCAAAGGTGGGATCAAGATTGTCATGGAGGAGGGCGCATATTCCCTGCCAACCAGTCACATCCGCCGGGTTCTCCTTGTCATAATTGGGAAGTGATGGATATTGATTTTTATTATCAATTAAAATAAGAGGGAGAGAACTTTTACCAATAATGGTCATAAATTAGGACATATCACATCCTTAATGCTAGTAGTAATGAATTGGATTTATGTCAAAATCTATGGAGTATTTAACACCTTCATATATGTTACATATTTAATATCGTTGAATCTGTTGCATTTGGGGGTTGAGTACCTTAAATTAAACGAGTTGACATGAAGAAATGCTAGTGTTCTCAAATGTAAACTAGAACTGTCCAATAGGGACAAATACCCCCCGCTGGGTTTTTCAGAGAAGGTGCCAATTCAAAAATACTTTATGGATCTAGAGGTGTTCACAATTTACTTACAAAAATTTGCAGTGAAATATAATTGCTCATCATGTTTCTTAATGAATGAAAGAAAGGTGCAACCAAATGAAACATCAATACTAATACATTGTAATTCCATTGTAACATTTTGAAAAAAAATTTTCATTTTATTTTTTTTTTATTACTGCATTAAAAAAATATATTGCAATTATGTGTTATGTCACTCTGCAAACTGATTGTTGAAAAAAAACCATTATACAAAATCAAATTAATCTTGATATATCAATTTGAAAAGTTTGAAAATAAAGAGCTGGTCATCCAGTAATGAAGTGCTTTGACAGACAATTAATTACAATTAAGAGAATAAGAGAAGAGAGATCTTTAATTCTTGTGCCTTATTCCCTGGAGATAGATAACACACACGCTTGATAAGAGATATGCCTTAACAACTTCCAACACCAAACTCATTAATTTATCTTTAACTGGATGCATGTCCAGTCATTATTCCCAAGAGACAAATGAAATTACAGTATCTTCTGTGCAATGTAAAAACTGTTTTTAACACTTGATGATGTTTCTTTTTTTAAGTTTTTATGAGTAGTTTTAAGCTGTAGTATTTTTGAACAGATATTCTAGATTCTATATCTCAAACCTTATACATGAGCGCTAAATGAAGAAGTCAATTAAAATAAATCAAAGTACTGAAAGCACTCATGGGAGTTGAACATGGTGTAAATAAAATCTTGGATCGGGAGGTTAAGTGAGTGAACAATATTACATGTATTAATTATTATATTGTCTGTATTTTCAAATACGGACAACTGTTTCCAATTTTTTTAGTTGGAACAATCTTGATCGAGAAAGACATTCAGAGACATTGAATAGCAAAAAAAGGCATGGGCCATAATGCTTGTCTGTCTACATTAGTCCTTTTTTATACCCCCTGCTTGAAAAGCGGGAGGGAATTTATTAATCGTGATTTCTGTCCATCTGTTTGTTACACTTTAGGTATACCCATCTCTTATCCGCAACTCCTCTAACACCACTGAACAAAATTTTCATAGAATCTTTATTACATATTGCCATTGTACTTCTATTACTTTTTCATCCTACACATATTTTGGGTTTCCCATTGCAAAACATGCACACTGTCATTATATTCATATTAGAGGTGGTTGATCATTTATATCACTGCTCACAGTCTTCAAATTTATAATATATTTTTCCTTTGCACCTTTACCTATGTGTTATGAAAATTTCAGTTTCGCAGGAATAATATCAATGTTGATAAAATGTGGATTTTAACACAGCATCCTTTTAAGAGCTAACAGGTTTGTTGTATAAAAGTTCTCTGTGAATAAAAATGTATTTCAATTACACGAATATTATACATGGAGTACATCAGAACTTAATCTTTTTTTAATATTGTGAAAAGAGCAATACCAAGTTAAAAACAAATGTTTATTGAAAAAAAAACATAAAACAGTGGTATATGCGAGAGTTTGTGTGCGTACACATTATCTGGTATGTAAATGAGGTTTTTATTTTATTAAAAATATATACTTCATTTTGCTGTTTTTAATCGCGATTTTAC